TATTCAGAATAGAGACAGGAAGGTACGTATAAGTGCCTAAGTGATAAATACATGAACTGAGAAGATGCAGGTAGAGACAGTTGTTTTGATTCTTTTTTATTGAATTTCAGTGATAGAATTTCAAAGAAGGAAATAATTCTACAATCCTTAAAACCAAATTCAGAGTTATTGATACACCTCAGGTGACAAGCAGTAAATTAGAAAATGAGAAATGAATTAACTTCCAAGGGGAAAGGATGAAGAGAGGAGTTGTACTGATTCACTTGACCCCACCCCTCCCCAAAATACAGACAACATCAAGGTATCTGGATAGCATTTAAGCCAATAGAAATATGGCCATCACTTCTCCCATTTCCCCCAAAGATAATTTGCATCCTTAATACCTTAGAAGCTTGGACAAGAATTTTACCAAATGTGGTAAACGCACATTATTTTAGTCTTTCCTTTACAACTTTAGTCAAAGAGGCCACATATACTCTAATTCATGTAAGAACCAGAAAAACAAAACCAACTAAAATATCTACTGTATATGAATTATGGAATTTAATTAAATATTACATGGCAAAGTGAAATTCTTAAAATATGTGAAAGAATATTTCTTTGGAACATAATTTAAATTCAAGAAATGCCTGTGACGGAATAATTAAGTTTTATCTTGTTGATATAGGTATGCACAAATGCATAATTACTGACTTTAAAAAGATGTTTTTTAGTTTACTTGTAATACAGCAATAACTAGTATAAAACATAGGTGGACAGAGAAAGATTTGACATTCCACCAATATTGATAAGTTATTTTTGGATGTGTAATATTTACTATAAATACACTAAGCTTCTAGTCTGTCCTGAAACGGCTGATCAAAAGGTGTATTTCTAAATCAAAATCAATTAAGAGCTTGTTGTAAAAATAAGGCTTCCAGCCCAGCAAAGTACAAAGAAGAAACACTTAAGGCAAATATGTACAACAATTCACTAATCAAATTTGCAATGCTCTTTCATGCTCCCAAGATGAAAGAATTTCAAAGAACACTTTTCACTCCTCCTCTCCTCCGCCCACCACACATTTCCTCTGGTCAGAGCCAATGCACACCTTAATATCCGTGGTTGTCAGTGAGCACACATTTGCGGTGGCTTTCTTCTGTAAATCAGAGAGGGGTTAAGTAACCTCCAATTAACATTACCAGGCTGATACATAACAGATGTTTCCTCTAGCGCGCCAACATTGGTCAAATTTATAGATATAGCGTATAAATTATAAAACATAAGCTTTATTTTTTGTTTATTGCTTCTCATGAATTATTTTATTCATTGTTGATTAAACAATCCTCAACATTACTAATTTAAACGTGTGTCACACTTTACAGTTTACAAGTCTCTTTCTGTTCTTTATCTTAAAAACCTATCATTTGTCCATGTTCTTCCAAATACTATGCAGACAAGAAAGCTGAAACCGCAAGAGGAAGAAACAGAGACATCCCAAGATGGAGAAACGACCATGAAAAACTAGTCACTTTGGGTCAAAGTATGTTTACTATAAATAATCTAAGCTACCTGGTGACCAGCATCCCATCTGGTTTGTTCATGCATTCATCCAACAAAGATTTATTGAAGTAAGTACTAAATAGAGAGCTGATTTATTTTGGGATTTACAGAGCCTAACACAGACCTGGGCCATATTATTTGTTCTGAAAATGTTTCTGGACACCCTTCTAGCATGTACTGAAATAAATGATGAAAAGTCACATTTCTATATATTATTTTTCTTATTAATCATCATTATAAACTATGTTCTCTGCCATTACATAGCTTATCTCTATTTCAAAATATCAGACAAATATAAAATGAGTAGAGACAGTTTATAATAAAAGCAAATTTCAATGAATGAAGTAATTATTAAAGAGATGACCACTCAGCCAAAAAACAAATTATTACCATACGCATTTCTTTAAATAATTAATTACCATAGTCAATTCTTAGCTAAAGATTCAGAAAATATGCAGCTTTCCAATAATATAGCTGTTGCGTATAAGATTCTACACTTTTTCTATATTGTAAACAAGAAGTTAGATGACTTCCTCAGAGTTATATAGAAATTAAACTTCATCTGTGATTTCACTTTGACTATTAAAAAGTTGAGAGCCTATACTGAGCCTAAGCCACAATATTTTCAATATATAATTCATGGCTTCATTTATTATTTCAGAAAACATTTACTGAGCCCTTGTATTCTAGGCCCTATGCTAATTAATTGTTCCTCACATCATGTTCTTATCTTCCCTTCATCCCCTCCTAAATCAAAACTTACAAATTTCAATGGCAGTATCAAATGGCTTTGAAGGCAACAGTGGTAGCAATATTAATATAAAAAAACAATCCTTCTATAAAAACTAGGCCACCTGAAAGGGCTGGCTGAGTGGCTCAGTTGGTTAAGAGCTCACTCAAGAGTGAGAGCTCTGAGCAACAGGGTTGCCCATTCGATTCCCGGCCCAAGCAGAGCTGCCACTAAGCTGCCAACAGGTGGCAGGATGGCTTAGCTAAAAAAACAACAAACAAAAAAACTAGGCCACCTGAGTCAAAAATGATTTTATTCCAAATATATCTATTTATCTATCTATACACACACACACACACACATATATATAGATATAGATAGATAGATATGTATCTATATATATTTATATATATATATATATAGTTTAGAGTATAGTAAAGTTAATCAAAATTTAAATATGATTATATTTTCTGGTAAAATCAAACATGGTCATTCTGAAAAAAATGGGAAGATAAGCAATGTCAAATACACACATCCTCACTGACATTGATACTAATCATATTTTTGAAGTTATGTCATTGAAATGGTATTATACATTTTGGCAAAAAAGGAACATCTTATAATGTGTGCAATTAACTTTCCAGCTTACTGGTTAACTCTGTTACTTAAGGGTGGAAAAATTTTTAAATAAGATCAGTACGTACTATGTTGACCTTGCAGGTTTTCAGAAATTTTCCTAGCAGTTTAATGGATAACCTAAATGTCTAACTTTTACAGATGAAACTTATCATCTATCATATCAATCAGGTTAATTTTTAAGTCAGTTATATTCATAAAATAAAAGCAAATAACAGTAATAATCTATACTTCTACAAATCTGTTTCCCTTTTCAATTCCAAATCCTGAAAAGAAGCCAGAGAAATGACTTGGGGAAAATCAGGATAGATTCAAAGGTGCCTACATAATTTCATAAAATAGCCTTTTTTTATTTTACAAATCTAAGTATCATTATTAAGAGTACTTCAGCTTCTGTCGGCCACAAACATCAGCTGTGGTTCCTACACACTTCATTTTCCTTTCCTTTCCTTCCTTCCTTCCTTATTTCCTTCATCCTCCCCTCCCTCAGTGTCTCCCTTTCTGTCTCTGCCTCCCCTGCACCTTTCTCTGGCTCTCAGCTCAAGGGACAGTTTGAAGACAGCAAATCCACAAGGAAGGGTATGTACGAACACTGAATCCAAAGTGAAATGCAAGGCAAGACCAAGAGAGGAGATTCAGGAAGGAGGCCCTCACGGGACAGCTGTGAGAAATCCATGGCCAGCAAAGAGCTGTGGGAGCTACTGGGCTGGTATGAACACCTAGAAAGTCAATCCTTTATGTATGAAAGTACTGGAAGCCCACATTCGATCAGAACTGGAAAGAAATACCCATTCTCACAGATGAAAACTCTTTGACCATAAAACAAGCAACAGTGGTGTGAGTAATTTAATAACATGGTCCCTTATGATTTGAGAGTGATCATTGTAAACCTTTTCGCAGGGTAAATGTGTAATTGGTTATAGATCAATAAGTAATTTCTTTCAGGAGGAAAAGCTCTTATTTATTTATTTACTTACTTACTTATTTGAAACAGCAAGGCTCTTAAATCAGAATGGAGCAAATACATTTAGGAAGTTGAGATTACTCTAAACAGCAAGATTCCTTACTGCACTTGTTAAGTTTTTCTCAACTGATCATTTATTTATGATGCCATAAAAATCCAGATGCTTTCAGCTTTGATTGCTGGATATTCACTGAAAGGCAGCTGAAATTACTTTCCCAGAGTTCCCATTTTGACAATTGCACTTTGAACTGAAAATTTACAATGGTAAATTTACAACGGTTCAATAATGGTGGTGCCAAAGTGTTTTTATCATTTTTCTTCCTAAGATTAGAAATGAGTTCAGCTCTTGTGGTCAGTATAAATCCCCTAATCAGCTTATTGGAAATTCTAGACGTATAATGGAAACCTAAGGTTAAGGAAATAAATGAATAAAACTTTAAAAATTAAGATCCTGCAAGTCTGTGATATCATATTTTGATGTTTGATGGTTTTCCAAACATTTT